AAAAAAAAAAAAAGGAGGGGAAGAAGTGGAGGGAGAAGGGTAAAAGTCCAAAGAATCGACCCACCAACACCAAACAAGCAGGAGATGTAAAGTAAATTAGACGGGAGGTTAACCGAGTTGTCGCTGTGATCCCGTGGGACTTATCGCTGCGGATGCAACAAGGCCTGTCACGGGTTTCCACCGCTGCCACTCTTTGATAATTTTCTCGCCTCGCTCCGCCCCAGGCCCTCCTCTCCTGTCTGCAGTATCTAATGTAGTGTTAAACGTAGCTCCTCCTCCTCCTCCTTGTTGTTGTTGTTGTTGTCCTCTTTTTTCCTGCCTCCGTGCTATCCTTCTCTACCCACGTCGGCAATCGCCTTTAAATAAATATATAAATAAATAAATATATAAAGAATAAAACCACCCCCTTTCCTGCTTCTCTTAAAATCAATTTCCTTCTCTCCTTCTCTCCCCTTTTTTTGTATGTATGTATGTATCTATCTTTCTTTCCTTCTTTCCTTTTTTTTCAATTCTTTTTCTTTCTAACTGTAGACGTATTCAACTATGCGTGCTTGCTTGCTTGTGTGTGTGTGTGTTTTGTATGATGCAACGAAAGCAATATTTTTCTAATGGTGATGTTGAACGGGAAAAGTAAGTTTTCTTCCCCACCCACTTTTCTTCCCTTCCTTCCTCCCTTCCTTCGTGTGTATGGGCGTATGTAATGTGGGTAGAATGGCAGAGAAGGAAAAAAAAAAAAAAAAAAAAACTAAAAGGGGGAATGAGAGAAATAATAAAAATATAAATATAAATATATATTTGTGTGTGTGTGTGTGTGTACGAAAGGCCCCTTTTCAACTTTTCCTATCGTTTTAAACTTAAAAAAAAAAGAAATAAATAAATAAATAAATATATATATATATATTTATATATATTTACTGGTGTGAGAAGAAACAACAGTTCCTTCCCCACCACTCTAATTTCCTTTTTACTTTATACATGGAGGGAGGGGAAAGAAGAAAAGAGGAAAAGAAGAAAAAGACATCATGTCATCTATCCCTCAAGCCCGTGGGTTTAATACCGCCTCACAGCATTGCCACACCACATGTTTGTGTACATATTCGCCATTCACTCTGGCAATGGTGCTTCTTCAAGAGAGAGGAGAGGCATCGTTGCAGCAGATGTACCCGTGTACACACACATGAACGCATTTATAAAACAACCACGTGCAGAGAAAGTGAGAGAGAGAGAGAAAACCCGCCTCCCTTTTTTTCTTTTTTTTTTTTTTTCTTTCCGTTCTTTCGTGCGGGAGGAAACAAAGAGGCACACACACACACACACACAAAACAACAACAACAGAAACGAAGGAAAAAAAAAAAGGACATCCCACGGGAATGCTTTAAAATATTGACTCCCAAACAAATTCACATCTCGCCACAACCACCACCACTGCGACCACCCTCATCATCATTCAACATTCAACATTCCATCTAACATTTTCCAAATGGAGAAGAAACATCAGCGGGCGGGTGGATGTGTGGACGAACAGCCAAAAAGTCAGCCGTCAAGTCATTATTACTTCAATCTCCATTTTCACCTTTTACTTCTCGCAAGGCCCGCATCCGCATTTCGGCCTGTTGTTGTTCAATGGTGCGCGTTGTGTTCGTCACACGCTGCATCGTTTGTGCCGCAGAGAGACGTGCGAGACGCCGTGCAATCGCATCTCCCCCCGACACACGCAACTCCTGCCCGTCAACGAGATCCTGCAGCAGCGCCGTCTCTGCCCTGCTCGCAGACGCAGCAGTCGACGTACTCGGCGTGGACGATGCATTCAATTTGTTCGTCATCGTCGTTGCCCGCACCCGATAGACGGCGGCCGCCCCCTTCTCCTGCATCACCTTTGCCCCATCGTCCTGTTCACGCCCATCGTCATCCTCCTCTGCCTCCAACAGGGGCGATATTTCCTGCGTCGCAAGGATGTGTTTCTTTCCCACCGGCACACGGCTGTCGTACTCCGCACCCAAATAAAACGTCTCCGTGAGACTCTCCTGCTGGTGAAAGAAACGCTGCAGTGCCGGATTGTGCAGCACCTTCTCCGTCACATACGTCTTGGCGAGCTGCCGGCGAAGAATTGCCTCCTCGACAGTGCCACTTGCGATAAGGCGATACACACCGACATCACGTGTTTGACCAATGCGCCATGCCCGCTCTCGTGCCTGCTCGTCTGTCACAGGGTTCCAGTCGGGGTCAAACAACACAACACGGTTGGCGCCGACTAAATTGACCCCAACTCCGCCAACACGGGTAGTGAGTAACGCAGCAACAATGCTGTCGTCCTCATTAAAACGATCCATGAGTTCCTGTCGGTGATGACCACTTGTGCTGCCATCCATGCGGATGTATTTAAACCCCTCTTGTTCACACATGTTCTCAATGATATCCAGCGCCATGCGGGTCTGGGAAAAAACCAACACCCTTTGACCACCACGTTGCCACACCGTCAGTAATTTTTGTAGCGTCTGCAGCTTCCCGCTCCCCGAGTAGTTGACTAAACGATTGCTGCGTAGCGACATGTGAGACCCACGTCGTCGCTTTGTTTTTCCATCCACCCCGTCTGTTTCATCCTCCTCGTTGTCGTCAAAGTACTCCGCGCCATTTTCCTTCGCGGCTCGCCGCAATCGGAAAATGTCCACATGATTACAAATCTGGCGCAGTTCGTTCAGCACGCGGAAGGCCTCGAGACGAATGCCACCATGATATTGGCGCTGAAACAACTGAAACCGTCTACCAGCAATGTGTAGACAACCATTTGCATCACGGCCATCGCAGTTCAACCCACCCATCAGCTGTGAACTCGTCAGTGTGCTGCTAAGAAGCCGCTGCACTCTCGATGATGTTAATAACTCCACATATGCCTCCAACTGATCGTCACTTAATGGGCAGCGTATGACACGCTCGTACTTCTGCGGCAACGTGTCACTCATGACCTGTCGCTTCAACCGACGTAGCAGGTAGGGTGCGATGCGCTCCCGCAAAGCCTGAGCACATTCCACAGCTGTGGCCAACGCAAGAGGGGATGCTCGAACGTCTTTACTTGCATTAATCGGTTCCTCAAACTCCTCCACAAATTTTGTCATGGTCCCAAGCAGCCCAGGCCTGACAAAATCAAACAGACACCAAAGCTCCTTCAATGTGTTTTGGATCGGAGTCCCCGAGAGAATAAGACGATGCGGTGTTGGAAAGGACTTTGCTGCAAGTGTCACAGTGGCCTCCGGATTACTAATTTTATGCCCCTCATCAAGAATAACATACTGAAACCGTGCCGTATGTAGGAGATGGCAGTGTTGCCGCACAGCCGCGTATGTTGTAAGGAGGACTGCCGGAGTTGACCGAATGGATTGAATGAGTTTCTCACGGCTCATATTGGTGGCACTGCTTTCATGCATGACACACGTCCGTATGTATGGAGCCCATCGGTGCATTTCCGCCACCCACTGCCTCAAAACTGTCAAGGGCGATACAATCAAGCAAGGGTCGCGCAATTGCTGTGAATGATGCAGGGCATTTAGCATAGATGCCACTTGTATCGTCTTGCCAAGGCCCATTTCATCACCAAGAATACCACCCATCCGTTGTGTATGCAGCCGCAACAGCCATTTAATGCCATCCCTTTGATGCTCCAGTAGGCGGTTATAAATATTGGCTAAGAGAGAGATACCGGGGACTATCGACACAGACGTTTCATGTTCTCTCCGGTTCATATAATGGACAGTACTGTTATTATCACAGCCACCGCCAGAATTCATGAGCAGTTGCCGCATGACATTCTTATCATCATCACCATCCACCTTCTCCATCAGCGCATCAACGTCAATCGCCTCCTTTCGAGTGTTGCCGCTTTCTCCTTTTTCGTCGTTTTCCTGCTTTACTTCCATTGATCCCGTGTTGCCAGCAGCTTCCAACTTCACAGTGCCGGAGTGCGATAAGGCTAAATGTGAAGCTGCCATGGTTGCAGCAACTTCCTCCAACCGCCGGCGTTTTTGCTGTCGCGCGTGGAACACGTCAAGATCGCCATCATCGGCGTATTTTATGGACTTTGAGCGCAAATCCGAGCGCGTCAGCGTGACGCGGTAAAGCGAGGGCAGAATGGCACCACCGGCATACTCGGAGGCCGTCATTGCCACCGACGGATGACTGCCACTACGATGGCACCGCTGCGGTTGCTTTGCGGTGCGAGAATGCGCCGCCGTCGCTGCATCATTCGAAACGACACGGGTTTTTAGCGGAATCTTCGGTTCACGCCGTGTGTCATCCGCAGCTTTTAGCGGCGATGCAGCAGATATGAGAGACGAGAAGGAAGAAGCCACCTGAAGGCCAGAAACATTCATCACGGCAGTTATACTCGTCGTATCCATCACGCCATGCAAACCAGCTGAAGCCACGGCAGTGTTGCCTGAAACGTTGCTCTTCCTTCGCTCCGCCGCTGCCTCCTCCTCCTTTCCCGCCAGCTGTCTTTGCTTCTTTGCCTCCTCAAGACGTTTTCGCTGCCGGCCCTCCATTTCAACTTGCCAGCGGCGCAGCAGCTTTGCACGGTTTTCTACCTCCCGCTGCGCCTTCGCCAGACGAAACTGGAGAACCGCCGCGGTATTTTCCTCTTCCCTCTTCCCCTCCTTGTCATTTTTCCCTCCCAACACCTCCGCCACCCCCCTCGACGACGCAGAACCCTTTTGGGACTGCGCAGCCAACGACTGCAACTCCGCAACCACGTGCTCCATCTCCCCCAGGGCTTCCCAACGACGGCGCAGCTCCGCCTCATCCATCGCGGCCTCCGCAACAACTTGGGCGTCCACCTCCGCCACGACTTCATCACGCAGTGCCGATTCCTCCACCCAACTCACCCCCAACTGCGAAAGATCATCGGCCATGCTTTCAATCGCTGTCGTAAAGCACTATATAAAGGGGGGAAAAAAGGAAGAAACAACAGCAACAAGAAAAAAAAACATCTCCTAAAAGTCCCCTCATCCAACCATAAAAAAACAAAGGAAATTTACACACAGAAAAACTGGCCTCCCCCCAAAAACACACACACACACAAGACGCATACCCACACACAAAAATCCTCAGACCACCAAATTTAAGATGCATTTCCCCTCTTTGCTTGACCCTTCGCTAATCCTTGAAGTGCCAATAGCAATTGAATAAAAATTCCTAATAAAAAAGCACAACAATTAACCTAAACAAAAAAAAAAAAAAAAAGAAAATTTTCAGAAAGCACCCAAAATAATAATAATAAATTGCGTCCTTGTAATGACACCGCCTCATGGCACCAGAGCTACTTGGCGACGGGGTTGGCTTCAAAGTTAAGCTTGTAGCCATTCGGCTCACCCTCGACAAACAACACTGTTGCAAGGGGAGGAACCTGAACCTCGCACTTGAACTCGCCGGTTGCCTCGTCCTTCTCCATCTTTGTCGAGCCCAGGGGTTCCACCTTGCTGTCCTTGCCAAACGCTGCCTTCACATTCATGTTGTATTCCTTCGTGTCATTGTAAAAGGCCCACTGCTTCTTTTCTTCGTTAACAATACGGAAAAGAAGACCGTTGCCATTGTCCTTGAAGCACTTGACCACGGTAGGGCCTTCAAATGTGGGCTGGCCGTTTTCGTACTTGATTTCTGTCATGGTCTTTGGCGTAAATCCTTATTTTTTATTTTATTTCTCGTTGCAGATATATATATCTATATTTGTTTGCAGCACGCTTTTTGCTTGCCTTGATATCTGTGACGGGGTTGTCCAAGAGAGGGCGGCAAAAAAAGGGCAAGGGGCAGAAGAGAGAGAGAGAGAGAAAGAGAGAGAAAGAGGGAAGGGGCCCAGATAGGTGAAGGTTGAAATACAAGTGACGCCAGAGGAAGAAACGTGTTATCACGCCAATTCGCTGTCGTTACGCTGGGCAGATCAAAGACACCAGAGGGGTTTTTGACGGTTCTCAAATGCCAGAGAACCAAGCTGAAAAAGACGCGGAGATAAAAAAAAAATAATAGGTAAACAAAATACCTTACCTATTTGAGAAAAAAAACATATTATCCAAAACAAATACAAAAATAGCCTAAAATTTTCAGAAAGCACCCAAAATAATAATAATAAATTGCGTCTTTGTAATGACACCGCCTCATGGCACCAGAGCTACTTGGCGACGGGGTTGGCTTCAAAGTTAAGCTTGTAGCCATTCGGCTCACCCTCGACAAACAACACTGTTGCAAGGGGAGGAACCTGAACCTCGCACTTGAACTCGCCGGTTGCCTCGTCCTTCTCCATCTTTGTCGAGCCCAGGGGTTCCACCTTGCTGTCCTTGCCAAACGCTGCCTTCACATTCATGTTGTATTCCTTCGTGTCATTGTAAAAGGCCCACTGCTTCTTTTCTTCGTTAACAATACGGAAAAGAAGACCGTTGCCATTGTCCTTGAAGCACTTGACCACGGTAGGGCCTTCAAATGTGGGCTGGCCGTTTTCGTACTTGATTTCTGTCATGGTCTTTGGCGTAAATCCTTATTTTTTATTTTATTTCTCGTTGCAGATATATATATCTATATTTGTTTGCAGCACGCTTTTTGCTTGCCTTGATATCTGTGACGGGGTTGTCCAAGAGAGGGCGGCAAAAAAAGGGCAAGGGGCAGAAGAGAGAGAAAGAGAGAGAGAGAGAGAAGGGGCCCAGATAGGTAAAACCATGTGCGCGGCTCATTATATATATATATATATATATTAATTGATAGAGCCTTTGGGATGATTTTTAAAATGCTTGCATTTATTTCCGGTAATTTGTGGAAAAGCCCCCTACTCGCTGTCAACCACCCGCATTGTGTTCCGAATTTCCTCTGGAAGGGTTTTTATCGCTTCCATGTCCTCTTCTTCAACTTGTTGCCGCAGGACGGGGTCATCGGGTGCCGCAGCACCGTAGTCCGCCTCGCTGAGCTCCACCGTTGGGGGCATTTGAATGAGTGTTATCATCGTGCTGCGGGTGTCGAGACGCAAGGCGTCTTTGAACACCACTGTGAAGTACTGCGGGTATGGCCGCAAGAGTTCCAGTATGTCCTTGTACTGCTGACGGATAACCTCCTTCGCGCCGTGAGGAAGACGGCCGTACAAGTCCACGGCAGTGCGAGGCTGTTGTTGAAGCTCCGCCGCACACAAGTAGAGGAGTTCCGGTTCCGTGTAGTTTTGCCGCAGGACACCGGGTGGTAACGGCACACCTGGACGGATCAGATGCAGGCGATGGCGGTAACGGTACTCAAAAACACGTATTTTATCCGGCGCCTGCTGAAAGATGGAGAGCGGCTTGCTTGGAAGGAAGTCCGACAGGGACGGCGGAAGTGACTTCAGAAGAAAATTCAACGAGATGGAACGTTTTTGTGGCACGTAGCGGAGAATGGCATCCAGCAGTACATCTCGATCGGCGTATGGGTTGTCCGGGTCCTTCTCCATGGCGATTCGACGGCGTAGTTTCTGGGCGGTGCGCCGGTTGCGGTGTACGAGTGCCTCCTCCAGTTTCTCCTCGAGCGTATGCGCCGTTTTCTCCGCGGTGCCCCGTGGTGACGCCACCCCGACGATTGTGTCGTCCACAATGCAGAACACATCGCCGTGGGCCCGGAAGAACTCCAGGAGGGTGCCGTAGTACATGATGATCTGTGCCTTGGCGTGGTCGGAGATGCGGTGGGCGGATTGAGCCAAGAGATCTGCGATGCACACACGTTGACCGTCCAGTACTCCGACCAACTCAGAGACAACTGCCGGTGTAGGGCTGTCATGATACGACAAACACGTCACAGGGGCAACCCAACACAATTCCCCCTCACCTTCAGGTGTAAAGCCAAACACGTGCTGCATCTGCGAGAAATAAAGAAGGGTCTTGTAATTTTCCCACGGCAACAACGCACGGACGAGCGAGTCGGGGGCTCCCGTGATAAGTTGGCGCAGCGAAATCCAGCGCGATGATGGCGGAAACAGCCGGCGAAACGACTCACAAAGAAATGGGTCGGGTTGATATTCCCGCCATCGCTCGTGCGCCACTTCCCCTGCAGCGTCCCGTCTGAAATCCACCAAACGCCTTCCTCCATGCAGTCGCACAAATTTTTCACCCTCCAGCGTCACAATTTCCAGTGTACCGGTGGCGGCAAATATTTGCTCAATATGAGCAACTGTGTAGCCCTCTGGCAGCTCCGCGAGTAGTTTCTCCATGGGAATAAAGAATGTTGGAACATACGGCACGAGCATCTGGGGTGTGAACATGCCCACTGGCACGCAGCCCTTCCTCTTCTTCTTGCTTCCCGACAGGTGTGGCTCTGACGGCGATGGCGGAGGCGCGAAGCTCGGAAACACCGGCATAAACACCTCCAGAAGAGACTCCGTTTCAGAGGAGGATAAGTTCAGCCTTGATGCACAAGCAGTAGAGAATGCCTCTTCCGATTCCTCGGCACTACAGGCCTTCACGGCATAGACCCCATCATGTGAAACATACACTCCCCAGTGGCTCACCCCGTTGGTGGCATGCAGCTGCCTCAGTCCATTTGCAAGCGTGCCAAATTGGGTTCGTAACCAGCGATGTGTATTCTGGCAGGTGTCCTGCGATTTTAGTTTCTTCGTGTCTATAACTTCATCCAGTTTGAATGGCATGTTACTGTACAGTGTGGATACCGTTGTCACACACGGGGCGGTGGCAATTCCAGGTGAAACCAATGTAAACAGTATTTCCAACGGCGTCAGGTGTGAACTCATCTCTCTGTTTAAGTCATCGGAAGTGCAGGGAGCAGCCATACTACTACAAGTACTTCTGCTGCTGACTGCCCGTATGGCGGCACGCAAGACGACAAGATGTGAGGAGAAAAGAAAATCCCCTCCCCTTGATGCAGAACATCCAAATAGACGCATTCGCTCTCCTAATTGCCCTGTGTAACAACGCTGAAGGATAACATGAGACATGCACGACTGGAACTGTGACGCTCTCTGTCGTCTGTGCCTCTTTTAACGGAGGTAATTGAAATACAATACACTTTTATTTTAGATGGATTCCCTCACGTGAAGGAGACCCACCCGCCTACACAGAAACACACACGCAGACACACACACAAAAAAAGGGAGAGATTTGCAGGCCTTCCAATCAAAGTGAACCTCCACCCAAACCCCGATTTCAACAAGAGGCAAAAAGTGAACAAAAACCATTGGAGAAAACAGGAAAGGATAATAAAACTTGACCAAACAATCAACAAAAACAAAAAGAAAAAAAGCTCTTCTTTCATTCCCCTCCCCTCCCTCAATACATCTCCATGGCAGCTGCCTCACTCGCCAGTTTTTTTAATGACGCCTCCAACACTCCGCATCTTCCGGAGAAGCGACGGAGGACAAGATTCTGTGTATAGAGCACACGTGCCTCACATAGTAGCTGCTGCACCTCCGCATCATCGTCACACAAAGCCCGGTGATCTTCCCACAAGTGCTTTTCTAGTTCATGCTCCACTCCCAAGTGAAGACGCGGCACAGATGGCGGCAAAGACAGTAAAAGAGCCTCTGAAAAATTACTGAGTGCCCGATTTGCTGCCGCACCACTGCCGGTGGATTTCCCACCAACGTCACCTTCGGGTGGTGGTAAAAACCAGCCTGCCTGCACGCACAGCCTGAGTCTTTCACATTGCAAATGGATGCGAGAGACCTCCTCCTGAATGCCCTGGTAGCTGTCCTCCCCCACGGCATCTGCCAATTGTTGCTGCTTTTTCTTCTTACGCTTCTTGCACAACCCTTGTCGTCCGAGATTTCCCCCCCTTTTCTCTGCACTTTCATCGACTTCTGCAGCACAAGTTTTCTCATCTTCTTGAACAGCGGTCGTGGTATCCCTCGTCAACACTCGTAGCTTTTCAAATAACACCGTTGCTTGACTTGACACACGCCGTTCTGCCAGTAACGCCCTAAAGTAAGGCACATTCATCTCCGCTTCACGCATGAGGATCTCACGCAGTCGCCTTCGCCGCGATTGTTCCAATAGACCATCATACCAGAAGGGCGATGCAGGAGGCGGTAAAAAACTCGGTACAAAAAGTGACACATCGCTTTCAACTTCATTTCGCTTGCACGCAGCTTGAGTGAGTTGCTCTTGCGATGGTAGTGGCAAATCTAGAAATCGTTTCAGAACATCTGCCCTATGCCTGGAAAGCATATCGGTTTCATCCAGTTCATCTTCTTTTTCTTTTTCTTCATGGGGGGCATTCTCCGTGCCATTGCTTTGACGGAGTTCCCTGTACCTTTGCGTGAGCCACTCCTGCCGCGTCCGCTGTGCCACCAGGACAGGGTGCTTCTCCATTAGTGAAGTCAGCGGATGGGCTGACGGCAGAGCGCGCTCTTCCGCTGGCTTCACTCGCAAGCCACTCGTTGGGGGTTTTGACTTGCAAGAGGAGGACGGGCCTGCGGTGGCCTCATCCCTGCCATCCTCGTCCTTCAGCACCTCCTGCAGGAGACGAAGCCGGTAGCGCAAAACCGCCTCTGAGACAAGTTTATATCTTTCCATCAACACTTCGACAGGCGGCGTGGGAACATTTGTTTCCAGCGACGTCGCCCCCACTCCCTCGGCCGATTGGAATGCCCCTTTTTCACGGGAATTGCTGTACCGCCATCGGTCGGCGACCACGACAAAATTACCAAACCGCTCGTAGAGTTCCAGCAATTTACACGTGGACGCATAATCAAAACGCCATTTCACAGTGTCGGGATCGTTGCCTTCATCTGGGAGTACGGCCGGCTGATACACGTCATTGCCCAGCCCCAATGTCGCGTACTCCTCCGGGGACACGGTAAGGAATGCGAAGGGAGAGGGTCCAGTGGAAGAGTGAAGGACAGAGAGTCCCACTTCTGGGGGAACAGAGAGGAGATGCGTCAACCACGCACCAGGAAGATTCCCTTGCCCACACGTCCAATCACCGCCATTATCGCCACCATCCTTTTCACCTTCACCTTCACCTCCTTCTTCCTTTTCTGTCAGCATGGCAGACATGAGTGCATTCTCGACTAGCAGCGCATCAGCCCGTGCCCAGCGATAACCGGAGGTGCTAATACAACGCAACTCCAGTGACGGAGCATCAGGACCGTCGGTTCGTTGAGACGCCGACCCTATGGTGACATGACGCTGCTGCACAAGTGACCAGCGATGCGTGGGTGGTACCAGCGAACCATGGGCCACGTTTTCACCATTCATTGTTTCCACTGTCCCTCCTCCTGTGGCCGTGGGTGAAATGACCCCAAACATATCAGGCAAAGTCGGTAGTTTGTGTGTTCCTACTCCGCCCACTCCACTGTCACCGGCCTCCATTGAAGTTTCCAAGGAGCGTTGTCCTACCGCGAGAGCCTGTTCGAGATGGTGAATTTCCTCCTCGCTGCTAAAAAAGCGATGATCTTGCATGAGTTTTGCCGCCTCGCCTTTTAACCCACGCAGACGTTTTCCATTGCGGTCGTACAGATAAGACGCCCGCCCTCTCTTCTGGCGTGTCACCGAGGCGGTAGAAGTTGTGGTTTTGGGTCCAGACGCCAGAGGCTGCAGGATGGAAGACGCCAATCTCTGATTTTCCATGGGAGTTCCACCCGTTTTTTTTTTCGTTTATTTCCTCAAGCCGCCACCACCGCCACCCCTTTCAGGAATAATCTTTGCCGCGTTGTTTGCATACATGTAATGAAAATGTGAACACAATCAAGTGAAGGAAATAAAAGGGACAAATAAATCATACATACCATTTATAGAGTGCACATGCCTGCAAGTACTTACAGGTTATGCATGTAAGACCCAAGGAAACACTCAAGCGGAGCAGCACACACACACACACCAAAAAAGAAAAAAAAAACACATTTTGTTCCTCTTTTTTCTTCCAGTACCGCCACCCTGGACTAATTAAGCGTGACGCATGACCTTCTTCGGGGGTTTGCCGCCCAGAATAGCCATGCTGGTCTGCGAGCTCGCACGGGAGGCACAGGAGAGGGTTGGGCGCTTTAGCATGCTACTGGCCGTCTTGTGCAAGAGCTGCGAAACCAAAACTCGTGAACTTGTGTCCATCAGCAACAGCTCCGGTGACCGCGCTGAAGAGGGTGGTCGACGCACCTCCTCCGTCTTATCATCCACCCTGTTCTCGTCGCTGATCGACATGAATTCCTCCGGTACAGACGCAAACGACAGTTCCTGAGCCTTTCGCTGAGCAACAAATTGCTGCAGCATGGCATCTTCCTCACTCAACGGTGGCGGAGCAGTCTCTGGCGTTGTCGTGTCATCTGAAGGTGCTTCCGCCGCATTTTTCTTCGCATCACCCCCACCAGCAGCAGTGACTGTTTCCCCATCTTGCTCAATCTGATACATGCGTGCCAGCTGTGCACGCACCTGGTCATCAACGATCCATAATCCGCCGGACTCCAACAAATTTCCTTTACGATCAAGACGCTTTTCATTGGCAATACCACGCAGTCGGTCACGCTTGTTCCGCTCATAATTCTTTAATGTAATCTGCGCAATCTTTTTCATGTACGCACTCCTATGCTCGTCGCTCACATAGGCGTAGAAGCTCTCCGCGTCGCGTTTACTTTCTTCCCATCGTTGCAATACTTCCTGTGAAAGAAGCGATGATGGTTCCACTGGAGTGGCAGGAAGCGGCGAGGCGGTAAGGTCGGCGAGCGACGCGCCACTGCCCCGGAGACTTTGCGACCGAGATGGGGCTTTGGG